GTTAGCTGGACTTGAATCCTAAAGGTGGAAAGCACAGTGCCTGCACTTGTAAAGAGGAATGGGGATATTTGCAGTTTTGAACTGTAGTATTGGTGTCTCTCTGGCAAGACAGTGATAGTGAAAATGTTTCTAATATTTTGAGACACCCTACCTTGGTGAGAGACTGCTGGTTTGTTGAAATATATATATATTTTCTTTTTTTTTCAACAAGTCGGCCGTCTCCCACCGAGGCAGGGTGACCCAAAAGAGAAAGAAAATCCCCAAAAAGAAAATGCTTTCATCATTATTCAACACTTTCACCACACTCACACATAATCACTGTTTTTGCAGAGGTGCTCAGAATACAACAGTTTAGAAGCATATATGTATAAAGATACACAACATATCCCTCCAAACTGCCAATATACCAAACCCCTCCTTTAAAGTGCAGGCATTGTACTTCCCATTTCCAGGACTCGAGTCCGACTATATGAAAATAACCGGTTTCCCTGAATCCCTTCACTAAATATTACCCTGCTCGCACTCCAACAGATTGTCAGGTCCCAAGTACCATTCGTCTCCATTCACTCCTATCTAACACGCTCATGCACGCTTGCTGGAAGTCCAAGCCCCTCGCCCACAAAACCTCCTTTACCCCCTCTCTCCAACCCTTTCGAGGACGACCCCTACCCCACCTTCCTTCCCCTATAGATTTATATGCTTTCCATGTCATTCTACTTTGATCCATTCTCTCTAAATGACCAAACCACCTCAACAACCCCTCTTCTGCCCTCTGACTAATACTTTTATTAACTCCACACCTTTTCCAATTTCCACACTCCGAATTTTCTGCATAATATTTACACCACACATTGCCCTTAAACAAGACATCTCCACTGCCTCCAACCGTCTCCTCACTTCTGCATTTACCACCCAAGCTTCACACCCATATAAGAGTGTTGGTACTACTATACTTTCATACATTCCCTTCTTTGCCTCCATAGATAACTTTTTTGACTCCACATATAACCTCAATGCACCACTCACCTTTTTTCCCTCATCAATTCTATGATTAACCTCATCCTTCATAAATCCATTCGCCGACACGTCAGCTCCCAAGTATCTGAAAACATTCACTTCTTCCATACTCCTCCTCCCCAATATATCCAATTTTTCTTTATCTAAATCATTTGATACCCTCATCACCTTACTCTTTTCAATGTTCACTTTCAACTTTCTACCTTTACACACATTCCCAAACTCATCCACTAACCTCTGCAATTTTTCTTTATAATCTCCCATAAGCACAGTATCATCAGCAAAAAGTAACTGTTAATTCCCATTTTGAATTTGATTCCCCATAATTTAATCCCACCCCTCTCCCGAACACACTAGCATTTACTTCTTTTACAACCCCATTTATAAATATATTAAACAACCATGGTGACATTACACATCCCTGTCTAAGACCTACTTTTACCGGGAAGTAGTCTCCCTCTCTTCTACACATCCTAACCTGAGCCTCACTATCCTCATAAAAACTCTTTACAGCATTTAATAACTTACCACCTATTCTCTATACTTGCAACATCTGCCACATTGCTCCTCTATCCACTCTTTAATATGCCTTTTCTAAATTCATAAATGCAATAAAAACTTCCCTACCTTTATCTAAATACTGTTCACATATATGCTTCAATGTAAACACTTGATCTACACATCCCCTACCCACTCTGAAACCTCCTTGCTCATCCGCAATCCTACATTCTGTCTTACCTCTGACTAGTCAGACAGCCCATCATAAATATGAGTTGTCAGTAAACGAGTACATCACTAATTGAGGAGAGGCTGTATTTAAAAACATTCTCAGTCCACAGCAGGTTGAAATCCTGCAGTGGAGTGAGAGATTCTGTATATGTATTACATACACGCAGAAAGTAAAAAAAGGGAAGACCCCTTTAAGTCATGTATCACTGAGTACATGTTGAAACAATGAAAAGAATGACAAGAGTAAGATTATTAAAACACTTGGAAAGTAAAGACAATTTAAGTTATGAAGATATCTGTTGCAAACTGGCATAAACCTTATATCCAGCTCATGTTTTTTATGTTAAATTACAAAAGTTATAGAGGAAAGAGGGATAGGCAGATTGCATACGTTTGGACTTCTACAAAATATTCTGAGCACAAAAGGTTATAAGATTACAATAAAACAAGAGACTCAGAGGAGTTGTTTGAGATTACAGATACTCTTGACTTGTATAAACAATCTGCCAGAAGGGATAACTAATGATATGAACATGTTGGAAGATGCAAAAAATCTTACATACAAGGTAAAATATGAAAATGTATGAAACCTGCAAGAAGACTGAGATCATCTGAGCAAGCAACAATGATGATTTTTAAATTGGAGTGACATGGAATGGCTGAAAGTAGACATGTTGAAAACAGGCTAATGAAATCTTTATAACAGATCTTGGGACAATTGTAATTAACACATGACAGATTAAAGTTTATGGACAGGAAAATAAAGTATTTTTAAATGAATGTTAAGACCAAGATTTAAACATGCTGCTGCAGTATAGGGTGTCCACACCTTAATTTTTTTTTTAAATATATAACCAAGAAGTGACAACACTCTGATGATGATTTTTCTTTAGTTAGGGAGAAAATACAAGAAACACACAGTTTTCAAAACAAGTACAGTAGGCCCCCGCTTTACGGCATTTCGCCTTATAGTGTTCCGCTACTGCAGACATTTCATATTATGACCAAAACTCGCTATATAGTTCCCCCACCTGACTTTCTAATACGGTCATTACGCATCACCTGGTTTGTTTACATACTCTGTGAGCCCGACTCTCCATTATGTCTGGAAACTTTCCAAAATTTCAAGTGTTTTTAAAGTTATTTCATATTTTATATATACTCTGATTAATTATATTCATGTGTACCTGTACCTAAATAAACTACACATTATGCTGGCATGCAGGTACATATTAAAATCACTAAGAGTGTCTTATTAGACTTGAAGATGCCATTTTAATAACAATAATAACAATAATAATCACTCTGAGGTGCATTAAATGTCATATAAAACATTAATAAAGACATTTTGCTTACTCCATCCATGTTATTTTAAAAATTATATAATAAACATGCTACATAACATATAAACATGATAAATGCACCCACAATAGAATAAATTAACATAAATATGAGACTTTTTCCAGTCGGAGTGTCGGAAGAATAAAGTTTTCTCTAGATTATTTTTTAGCAACAACTGAGAAACAGGAAGCAACAATTTTAAACATCCATAAAGAAATAAAAAGCATCTAATGAACACTTGAAATAAAATATTTCTTGCATCAAATGAAAACTTGAAATATTTCCTAACAAAAAGTGGTAGGTTGCTGCAAAGTAATCCTCTTGGATTACATGGTAATATGGGCCACTACAACTACAATCTCAAAAACAATTATATTAAATTAATAAGTGAAGGTGGGACACCGTAAGTAGTAACAAGCAGCAGTGTATACCCAGTGTTTCATTCAATTGCCCCACTGATGTAAAGGTTCCTAATTTTTTTTTTTAATTTTCCAGAAACCATGAATGAGATGATATAGGAAAAAAATGTTATGAAAGATGCTTAAGAAACTTATCAATATAGCAAGAGTTTACACAAGAAAAAGTGATATAATTCAGAGAAGGAAAAAACTGGTGGTTATGCATACTTCATACCATCAGAAGTGACTTATGTTTTAGGCAAAAAATCATAGTAGCAGTAACTGCATTCATGGCAAAATTCTTTTACAAAGTGAAAATATTTAAAGAATTCTTTGAAAAACAGCAATGAAATTGTATAAAAAATTGAAACTTGCTTCAATCCCAGCAGCAGAGATTAATGAAGCTGCTTGATGTGGAAAGCAGCCTGTATGTCCTAGTACAAGTAACCCATTTAAAAAGTACCAATAAAGAAACTCCTTCTAAAAGTCTTTTGCCTTTTCCCCAAATGACAGTAAAAATATAAATTATTCATGCAGATCTTGCTGATAAAAATAATAATTGTCACATCAGTGTTAACTGCTTGTCACCATATTTCCAATTAATGCAAGAAACGACAAGCAACACTCGAGGAATTCATAATGTACAGTGACAAGCAAATGTATAAGCAGATTTGTTATCTGCTAAATATGTGAAAAAAAAAAAATGCCAGTCCAGTTCAAAATTCAGTATATTAAGATATCTGCGTGCGAATAAAAATGGAGCAGGTGGTATCTGCCCTTTTTTGTAAAGCTCATACAAAATTTGTTCCATGTTATCCTTTTCTTTTACATATATTACCTTTCGTTGACAAGTTTGTCTTTGAATGGATTTCGTGGATATCTTTTCATGATATCACTCTCTGCATTTTCATACGCCAGAGATATAGCAGGAACCTAAGGAAAAGGTGAACATATGGTACAGTAGGTGAACTACAACGCAACTTTAGCCATTTGTAAGTGTTAAAACTTGCTGAACATTAGCTAGATCTTTTTGTAGCTTTTCTACCTTCAATTCAACTTGTACTTTATATGATACAATTTATAACCCAATAAAAAGCAATTACACTACTGAGCTACATTAAATCTACAATGTACTGTATTTAGCACATCTTTATTTGCAACTAAATCATCGATACCTCTCATTGACCAATTTATCATGCATGGGACTTCTTGGTCTTCTCTTCATAATATCGTTTTCAGCAAGTTCATAAGCTAGTGAAATAGCTGGGATCTTCAGGAAAAAAGAATTATTATTTTGAAACCTTGGAAATAAAACATTAAAGGCATTTTTTTTTTATAAGGAGTTTCAGTGAATTATAATAAAATTTTATGCAGACTATTTTCTCTTAGAATTGATATGATATAAAATGGCCAAATTATATTCTCAGCAGCAAATGTATTATTTGTGAAAAGAACATTATTTTGAGATTTCACAACTTGTTAATTTTCTGTATTGTAAAATAAACAGCAACTTACCATGTCAGTACCCAGATCAATGCAGAGGATAGTAACAGTACCCAATGGTAGAGGCACAGAGGCAATCATGAAGAACAAAAATGGTGAGATTTCAGGAATGTTGGAGGTCAAGGTGTAGGCAATAGACTTCTTAAGGTTGTCAAAAATAAGTCTTCCCTCCTCAACACCAGTAACAATGGATGCAAAATTATCATCTAACAGAATCATATCAGCAGCCTGCTTGGACACATCTGATCCGGCTATACCCATGGCAACACCTGAAAAGCACAAAATTTTGAAGTCAACATGGTCTTTTCTATTCTATAAGTATGCAAATGGACATTAATTATTATATATCAATTTGAGCCAAGCAAAAACTTACCAATGTCAGCTTTCTTTAGTGCAGGAGAGTCATTGACACCATCACCAGTTACAGCAACAATCGCACCCATGCGCTGACAACCTTCAACAATAATCAGTTTCTGTTGTGGTGAAGTACGGGCAAATACAATTTCAGTATGATGAATAAGAATATCATCCAATTGCTCAGAGGTCATGTCTCGCAGTTCTGAACCATGGACAACAGCAGCCTTGGCTTCACGAGGGTCAACTTCCTTAATAGGAATATTCAATCTCTGTGCAATATCCTCAACAGTTTCATTACCTTCAGAAATTATACCAACTGACTTTGCAATTGCCTTGGCAGTAATAGGGTGATCACCTGTAACCATGATAACCTTTATTCCAGCTGATCGGCATTTTGCTACAGCATCAGGTACAGCAGCACGAGGAGGATCAATCATGGACATAAGACCTACAAACCGCAAGCCATGTACTGGAAAGTTTACAGAATCTGTATCAAAGGGATATCCAAGAGGATACTTATCAGAAGGCAAAATGTAGTCACAGAAACCAAGTACACGCTCTCCAAGACCTCCCAGTTCCAAATAAGCATTGTTGAATGATTCCTTCAACTCTTCATCAAGAGCCTTTTCTTCTCCATTAATGTAGATGGTCGAGCAGCGTTCCAGGATCCTTTCTGGGGCTCCCTTCATGACGAGGAGGTAGCGAGGGTCATTCTTATCCTCGGTTTCATGTATAGATACTTGGTATTTATTTGTGGAATTGAATGGAACCTCGCATACCTTCTTGTTACGTGCTCGCCAGCCCTTTATGTCTCCAACAGCAAGTTCAACACATTTCAGTAAAGCAGCTTCAGAAGCATCGCCATTCACTTCACGTTTCAAGATAGGGACATTCTCTTGTCCAGCTTTAAACTCAGCACGATTGCAGAGAGCAGCAATTCTAGACAGAGTCTTCCATCCTTCTGATGTCTTGTCGTATTGGCAGCCAGACTGGTCTTCTGATGTATCAGCTTCAATGATGGTGTTGTCAAACCACATGTGAGCTACAGTCATACGGTTCTGAGTCAAGGTACCAGTCTTATCAGAGCAGATGGTTGAGGTGGACCCTAGAGTTTCAACAGCTTCCAAGTTCTTGACAAGACAATTCTTGGCAGCCATTCGTTTGGCTGTGAGTGTCAGACACACAGTGACAGTGGCAAGAAGACCTTCAGGCACATTTGCTACAATGATACCAATGAGGAACACAACAGCATCTAACCAGTGATAGCCTGAAAATAAAAAAAAAGCACTAATAAGTTGCTAAAAGTAATAGAGTTTACTGAATGTAGAGGTTTACTATTATACTTATAAAATGCTTTAAAGTCACACTTTCAGTGAAGTGTAAAGGAGAGACTGGTTTAAGCTATTAATATGTCAATGTTTAAGTTCATAGTTTACCGTTTTGTCTAAAGAAATATAGAATAAAACAATGAAAAGTGGATGACAGTGAGAACACAACATCAAAAGGGAGAGAGTATACAAGTACAGTATTGGTAAATACTGCAACTTACCCATGATGAAGGCAATGATAAAGAAGGTAACACCAAGGAACACAGCTACACCAGTAATGATGTGGATGAAATGGCTGATCTCTTTGGCAATAGGGGTCTCACCGGTTTCCAAACCAGAAGCCAATCCAGCAATGCGGCCCATGACTGTATTGTCGCCAATGTTGATCACAATGCCTCTGGCAGTACCTATAATACAGTATATATTGTACAGGAAGATCATTCAAAACTGGCAAATTCTAATCAGAGTCAGATAATTAAACAAATACTCACCTTCTACAGCATTGGTGGAGAAGAAAGCAAGGTTCTTGGTCTCTAAGGGGTTCTCCGAGGTAAATTCAGGAGAACGACTTTGTGGTTCAGATTCTCCAGTTAGTGAAGAGTTGTCCACCTGTATATAGAATATTATAATAGAATAAGAAAAATTGTCAAAATTGTCAAAGAGGGATGTCTGAATGTGCCTGGATGATAAGAAAGAGATGATTGTGGATGTTATGAATTTTAGCTGGATTTCCTGGCTTTAAGTGAAACAAAGTTGAAGGGGGTGGGAGAGTTTCAGTGGAGAGGAATAAATGGGATTAAGGTCAGGGGTTTCAAACAGAGTTAGAGCTAAAGAAGGAGTAGCAATAATGTTGAAGGATAAGCTATGGCAGGAAAAGAGGGACTATAAATGTATTAATTCAAGGATTATGTGGAGTAAAATAAAGGTTGGACGTGAAAAGTGGGTTATAGTAAACGTATATGCACCTGGAGAAGAAAGAAGTGTAGAGGAGAGAGAGAGATTTTGGGAAATGTTGAATGAATGCATGGGGTGTTTTGAACCAAGTATGAGAGTACTTGTGGTTGGGGATTTCAATGCTAAAGTGAGTAAAAATGTTGTGGAGGTAGTAGTAGGTAAATTTGGGGTGCCAGGGGTAAATGAAAATGGGGAGCCTTTAATTAAGCTATGTGTAGAAAGAGGTTTGGTAATAAGTAATACATATTTTATGAAAAAGAGGATAAATAAATATACAAGGTATGATATAACACGTAATGAAAGTAGTTTATTAGATTATGTATTGGTGGATAAAAGGTTAATGGGTGGGCTCCAGGATGTACACGTTTATAGAGGGGCAACTGATATATCGGATCATTATTTAGTTGTAGCTACAGTTAGAGTAAGAGGTAGATGGGACAAGAGGAAAATGACAACAAGTAAGAGGGAGGTGAAAGTGTATAGCTAAGGGAGGAGGAAGTTCGGGTGAGATATAAGCAACTATTAGCAGAAAGGTGGGCTAGTGTATGAGTAGTGGGGGGGGGGGGGGGGTTGAAGAGGGTTTAGAATAGTTTTTAAAAATGCAGTAGTTAGAATATGGGGCAGAAGTTTGTGGTTATAGGAGGGTGGGTGCAGGAAGAAAGAGGAGTGACTGGTGGAATGATGAAGTAAAGGGTGTGATAAAAGAGAAAATGGTAGCTTATGAAAGGTTTTCACAAAGCAGAAGTGTTTTACGAACAGTAGAGTATGTGGAGAGTAAAAGAAAGGTGAAGAGAGTGGTGAGAGAGTGCAAAAGGAGAGCAGGTGATAAGAGTGAGAGAGGCACTGTCAAGAAATTTTAATGAAAATAAGAAAAAATTTTGGAGCGAGTTAAACAAGTTAAGAAAGCCTAGGGAACGAATGGATATATTAAAAACAGAGTAGGGGAGTTAGTAGATGGGGAGACAGGGGTATTGGGTAGACGGCGAGAATATTTTGAGGAACTTTTAAATGTCGACGAAGAAAGGGAGGCGGTAATTTCATGCACTGGCCAGGGAGGTATACCATCTTTTAGGAGTGAAGAGCAGGATGTGAGTGTGGGGGAGGTACGTGAGGCATTACGTAGAATGAAAGGGGGTAAAGCAGCTAGAACTGACAGGATCATGACAGAAATGTTAAAAGCAGGGGGGGATATAGTGTTGGAGTGGTTGGTATTTTTGTTCAATAAATGTATGAAAGAGAGGAAGGTACCTAGGGATTGGCATAGAGCATGTATAGTCCCTTTATATAAAGGGAAGGGGGACAAAAGAGACTGTAAAAATTATAGAGGAATAAGTTTACTGAGTATACCAGGAAAAGTGTACGGTAGGGTTATTAATGAAAGAATTAGAGGTAAGACAGAATGTAGGATTGCGGATGAGCAAGGAGGTTTCAGAGTGGGTAGGGGATGTGTAGATCAAGTGTTTACCTTGAAGCATATATGTGAACAGTATTTAGATAAAGGTAGGGAAGTTTTTATTGCATTTATGGATTTAGAAAAGGCATATGATAGAGTGGAGCAATGTGGCAGATGTTACAAGTATACGGAATAGGTGGTAAGTTACTAAATGCTGTAAAGAGTTTATATGAGGAAAGTGAGGCTCAGGTTAGGGTGTGTAAAAGAGAGGGAGACTACTTCCCAGTAAAAGTAGGTCTTAGACAGGGATGTGTAATGTCATCATGGTTGTTTAATATATTTATAGATGGGGTTGTAAAAGAAGTAAATGCTAGGGTGTTCGGTAGAGGGGTGGGATTAAATTATGAGGAATCAAATACAAAATGGGAATTGACACAGTTACTTTTTGCTGATGATACTGTGCTTATGGGAGATTCTAAAGAAAAGTTGCAAAGGTTAGTAGACGAGTTTGGAAGTGTGTGTAAAGGTAGAAAGTTGAAAGTGAACATAGAGAAGAGTAAGGTGATGAGGGTATCAAATGATTTAGATAGAGAAAAACTGGATATCAAATTGGGGAAGAGAAGTATGGAAGAAGTGAATGTTTTCAGATATTTGGGAGTTGACGTGTCAGTGGATGGATTTATGAAGGATGAGGTTAATCACAGAATTGATGAAGGAGAAAAGGCGAGAGGTGCATTGAGGTACACGTGGAGACAAAAAATGTTATCTATGGAGGCAAAGAAGGGAATGTATGAAAGTACAGTAGTACCAACACTCTTATATGGGTGTGAAGCTTGGGTTGTAAATGCTGCAGCGAGGAGGCAGTTGGAGGCAGTGGAGATGTCCTGTCTAAGGGCAATGGGTGGTGTGAATATTATGCAGAAAATTCGGAGTGTGGAAATTAGGAGAAGGTGTGGAGTTAATAAAAGTATTAGTCAGAGGGCTGAAGAGGGGTTGTTGAGGTGGTTTGGTCATTTAGAGAGAATGGATCAAAGCAGGGTAATATTTAGTGAAGGGATTCAGGGAAACCGGTTATTTTTATATAGCTGGACTTGAGTCCTGGAAATTGGAAGTACAATGCCTGCACTTTAAAGGAGGGGTTTGGGATATTGGCATTTTGGAAGGATATGTTGTGTATCTTTGTACGTATATGCTTCTAAACTGTTGTATTCTGAACGCCTCTACAAAAACAGTGATTATGTGTGAGGTGAAAGTGTTGAATGATGATGAAATATTTTCTTTTTGGGGATTTTCTTTCTTTTTTTGGGTCACGCTGCCTCGGTGGGAGGCGGCCGACTTGTTAAAAAAAAAAAATTACACAGCTCATTTGAGGCTAAAGGGGAAAAACGAATTGAAAATATAGATACAATCCAATAATAAAGTAGAAAGTACTTGCAAATTACAAAAACTAACCTTAAATCCCCTGGCTTCAATGACACGGACATCAGCAGGAATGCGGTCACCAAACTTCACCTCAATGATGTCTCCTATGCAAAGCTCCTCGGCCTGAACATTCTGCTTTTCTCCTTCACGTACCACAATAGCATACTAAAAGGAGGAAAACATGTCACTATGGTATTCCACCTTCTTATTAAACTATTAATTTATATCAATTTACAATATTAAAAAATATTAACTGAAAACTTATCACTTAAAATGTCTATGAATTCATATATGCAAATACAAGTGTTCTAGATATTAGTTAGTACATAATATTGTCAGTGTTGAGCTACAAAGATGTTTGTTGTGTAAATTGTTGCATTTTTATCAGTGAGACAAATGAGATGCTTTCTGGTATATTACTGTAAATACTTGTACACATAGTCCAACATGCAGCATAGCCAAAGCAAGACAAAATACTACAGTACAGGTTTTTCAACAACAAGTCTTCTGCTCAACTTACCATGTTTCTGCAGAATACCAGTCAGGGTCTTGAAGGATGACTAACTCTTGAAAACTTACCATCAACTACTAAGCAAATTACTTCAAAATTTACTCTGTATAAATCTAACTGTATCTATGTATGTATTTTATTTACCAATATTACATTTATGTTGAGTATGATATCTACCTTCTTAACTTTATACAATATTATATTTCCTGGTTAAAAGAAACTTTTGTAATTTGACTTGGCTTGCAAAACAACAATAAAACATGAGAACAAGACAAATTTTTGAAGCGAGATTAACAAATTTAAAAACATGTCTCACATTTTCTCCAGAAGTGTGAGAAAAACTCCTTCCATACAATGTGGCTAGTTTGCTAAAACATTCTACCACTGAAACATTCTACTATTTTGTGAAGATTTTAATGTCCTACACACTGTCAATAACTGACTGACTAATGATCAGCAGTTGCTTCATGCTTGTCCTTTGTGGCCAAGATTGAGGTTGCTTTGGCCATCAGAGCAACCTCTGACTAACCAATGTTAATCAAGTAGTAGTGGTAGTGCAGGTGCATAAGAACTAATGCAATAATGAAACCTAGTTAAGAATTCCTAAACATTCTAAACACAGGCTGAGCTCCAACCTGCATCTACATTTGAATCTAATTTGCAATGAACTAATCTGTAAGTGGGAATAACCACCATGCTCTGTTATCTAGTATAAAATTTAAGACACCCAAGTCAACAGAATTCGATGGAATATCAAAAGGAATATCACAAGTCACTGACAAATCTTTAATGGGTAAAGTGCCATACAACTGGAAGGTAGCAAACTTAATACTGATTACTTATAAAAGAGAGACTTCAGACCAGTGCTCTTGAGTAACATGTAAAGAGCTGAATAAAATTAAGAGAAAAAAAAGCCTTGCTGAAAATCCAGAAAGCCCTAAATTCTACTGAAGGTCTAGACAGGCAACATTACAAACTGTACTAATAAAACCCACTGATATACCCACCACTTCAAAAATTGGCAACATAGAAATTACAATAAACTATGAGCTGATACCATTGAACTTGCATCCAAATCTTTCAACTTATGTCAAAAAAGTAAAATGATGAATACCTGAAATATCTGACACAACCCAGCACCATGCAAGTATAGAATAGGAAGTTTAGGCCACCTTTTGTTTTTAACTAATAGATCACTAAAACTGTCTTGAATAATTCTACAAGTAAAGAAAAAGAACTCAAAGCTTTTCAACAATCTCCTTTCAAGAGGTAACTTTGTATATTCCATTTAACTGTTCACAATAGTAAAGTTGTGGTGACTAGGTTGAACTGTGCTGCAAATACAAACAGCTTAATTATTTCTATGAACATTAAAGATGTAGAATAAAAGAAATAATCAACAAATAAAATGTATATGCTGATGATAATGTGCTTTAGGGAGATTCTGAAGAGAAGTTGCAAGGGTTTGGGAAGGTGTGTAAGAGAAGAAAATTGAGAGTAGAGTGGTACCAACACTCTTATATGGGTGTGAAGCATGGGTTGTCAATGTTGCAATGAGGAGGAAGTTGAAGGCAGTGGAGATGTCATGTCTGAGGGTAATGTGTGGTATAATTATACAGAGAATTTGTAGTTTGGAGATTAGGAGGAGGTATGCAGTTACTATAATTATACAAGAGGGCTGAGGAGGGGTTGTTGTAGTAGTTTGGTCATTTAGAGCAGAAAGGATGAGGGTGTATAAATCTGTAGATGAGGAAGGCAGGGTAGGAGTCATCCTGGATAGGACTGAGGGCATAAAGGAAGTTTTGTGTGGGAGGGGCTTGGACATGCAGTATGCATGTGTGAACGTGTTAGATGGGAATGGAGACAAATGGTTTTTGGGACTTGAGCTGTTAGAATGTGACCTATATATTTAGTGAAGAGATTCAGGAAAACTGGTTGGCCAGACCCGAGTCCTGGAGGTGATAAATATAGTGCCTACACTCTTAAGGAGGGGTTTGGGATATTTGCTGTTTGGAGGTACATCTGAACTGTCATTTCTGAGTGCCCCTGACAAGACAGTGATTGTGTAAATTATGGTGAATATATCTTTTTCAGGTTACTCTGCCTCAGTAGATGCCCAGCATGTTAAAAAAAAAAAATAAATAAATAAAAAAATAAATTAAACAAAAGTTTAAAATCATATGAAAACACTGGAACCTCATGATAACAAGAGCAATTTAGTTACTGCAAAAGTTAGAGATCAACACTTTTTTCCCATTGTATAAAACAGATACTTTATAGAAAAAATTTAACGGAACATGTAATTATTTTTTTTTATTATCACACCGGCCGATTCCCACCAAGGCAGGGTGGCCCGAAAAAGAAAAACTTTCACCATCATTCACTCCATCACTGTCTTGCCAGAAGGGTGCTCCACACTACAGTTTTTAAACTGCAACATTAACACCCCTCCTTCAGAGTGCAGGCACTGTACTTCCCATCTCCAGGACTCAGTCCGGCCTGCCGGTTTCCCTGAATCCCTTCATAAATGTTACTTTGCTCACACTCCAACATAGCAGTCAAGTATTAAAAACCATTGTCTCCATTCACTCCTATCAAACACGCTCACGCATGCTTGGAGAGTCAAGCCCTCGCACACAAAACCTCCTTTACCCCCATCCCTCCAACCCTTCCTAGGCGACCCCTACCCGCCTTCCTTCCACTACAGACTGATACACTCTTGAAGTCATTCTGTTTCGCTCCATTCTCTCTACATGTCCGAACCACCTCAACAACCCTTCCTCAGCCCTCTGGACAACAGTTTTGGTAATCCCGCACCTCCTCCTAACTTCCAAACTACGAATTCTCTGCATTATATTCACACCACACATTGCCCTCAGACATGACATCTCCACTGCCTCCAGCCTTCTCCTCACTGCAACATTCATCACCCACGCTTCACACCCATATAAGAGCGTAATTAAGTATAAAAATAGAATTTTAAATGTTTTAACACTTTGCTATTCCAATTTAATTTCTGCATGCTGATCTTATATTCACAGATTCGAAAGATCGTGTAAAAATTTTGAGTCTGATAATAAACAATTTAAAAAATTAGCCCGTAAACAGTCCAAACGTATATATACGTTCACTACCACACTGCCCCAACTTTTTTGAGAAAAAAAAAATTGTTGTTTTTTAATAGGAAAAAAAAGAGCATATTGTACCCAGGCATCCCCAATTATTTTAATATGGCGCACAGTGAGTGCTCACACCCATTCTCTCGTGTCTAGGTGACTCAGGCTTATCGTGGCAACGTTAAATGTATGACACATAAAACGTGTATATACGTTAGGGGCACTAGCGGTAAAAACGTATATATACATTTGGACCGTTTGCGGGTTAATTAGGCATATCCAAGTCAACTTCCAAATTTATCCAGATAAATAACAAAAAAAGGCACAATACCGTGACTGGAACGATACACAAATAATCCACACATAGAAGAGAGGAGCTCCACCTTCACCATACTCCCTCCCCACTACTGCCTTCTACCTCCACTACTACCACTACCACCTCCTGGCCTATATATACTCCGTCCTTCTCTCCTTTTCGCTAGTGTAGCTTTGTATATGGTCCAAATCGGACTGAAACGTCATCGTAAGCTCCTTCTCTTTTATGTGCGGGTTATTTGTGTATTATCCAGATAACTTCAGTGGTTATAATTATGGCATTATAAGTAAAATTTACAGTCTTCAGTGCCTCACTGGTTTCTAACAATAAACGAATCCCATTCTAAATTAAGAGGCTAAGAAAACTTTAAAAAAGATTAACTTGGAATATATTAGTTAATTATAACATTTAATGTGAAAAATCATAGAAAAAAAATCCCATATCAAATAATTTTGGAGTAACTGACTCAAGAAATCGTAATGACACGATTACAAACAAACCATAGCCACTGGGCCAGCTAGCTGGCCCAGTGGCTAACGCGACGGTCTGGAGTTTTGAGACTCTCTGACCGAGGGTTAAAATCCCGCCCGTGGTATAGTTAATTTTAGAGTAAGATGTTAAATTTCTGAACAACTAAAAATGGCTAAGGAAAATTAATTAAGGATAAGTCATGCTTCAAATACTGACAAAGAGTGCAATTAGAATCATCCAAACAAGTCCAGTACACACAAATACAGAAAATGCTAGTCAAAGGATATTTAAATGAGATATCAAACCATATTTAAAATTTCTTTACAGTCAAGTGACTTATACCAATAAGACAAGAATGTAAGAAATATACTTTTAAGGCTGGAAATTACAAGTTTCTTTGACAAATTAAACAATGTAAAAATGACACTTCTCTAATTTTAAAACATATTTTAAGTTTAGTAAAATAGTGCAGTCAAAGTCTTTGTTGATAATCTAGAGATTAAGACAGACAAGGAAGATCACATAACACTTTTTTTTTTTTTTTGCATGCACCTTAATTTTAAACAGAAAACCAATTCACTGAAACAAGTACAGTAGCTTGATATAATGATGTTTTGGTTGCAGTATGCAGAGTGAAAATTACAGATGATACACAAATCCACATTGACAAATATAAGAGGCAGACAATGACATGTAGCTAGCTGCTACCTTTAATAAAACAATATACTAAAGCTCCATGTATTGTATAATTTGTTTAACGTGTTCAGTATCAGTGTAAGTAGTTAAATTAATATTTACATGCATATACAGTATATTTATATGCATAATGTATGAAAATATATACATGTGTTGTGCCGAATAGGTAAAACTTGCGAGTTTGGCTTAAATAGCAATGCTCTTCTTGCTTAATAAGGTAAGCAAAAATTTGTGCATGCAATAATTTTGCAAAAAATCATTCTGAACCTAACAAAAAAAATACATTTCATTTGTTTGTTTATTATTAAATTATTGTAAACTTATCTAAAATATATTTAGTTGGATTAGGCTAAATTAAATTGCGCTTGTGATAATAAAGTTAGGTAAGTTTTCTAAGGTCCTTATGGTACAAAATTATTAATTTTTACATTAACATAAATGAAAAAATATATCTTTAAATGTATAATAAAATTTTAGAAAGGATTTAATTTTAAACGAGTCCTTCCTAAATGACCAGTTTTACCTATTCAGAACGACATATGTGTATATATAAAATCACACAAAGATACATATATACACACATTTTATGCACAATTTCTGTATGTATTATATTTAAAATATTAATAACCCAAATTAGTCACCTGAGGAACCATGTTTTTAAATGACTCCATAATTCGGGAACTCTTGTTCTCTTGATAATATGAGAAGACTCCTGTGATGATGACGACAGCTGTGAGTACAATGCCCAGGTACAACTGTAAACAAGCTCTAGAGAATCAGTATACAGTATTCTTTTTAAACTCTACTCGGACCACTTTATCCGAATAAACACAAATCCCGATATATGGTATGGTTCGCTGTGCCAAAAGCAACACCAGGCAATATGACCATTGCTGTCTTGGCTGAGCTAGAAGGCAATGTAATTAAGACATAAAACACTTACATACTTACACTACTTACGGTACTGAAGAAGAGAATACTAATCGTCGACCATCACCTATTTACCATGAGTGTAAGGTAAGCATGCCAAGCTAAAGACAAAATAAAATTTTCTAGCATATATTTCTTATTCCAGCACGACTTTCTTCAATTTTGAGAATAATGCCATGTTTAAAATGTATAGTAGCTGGCAACATCTGACCGAAAACTGATATTGTTACACTTCTGAAAACCTTGCTGGCTAACACCTCACAGCCTTCCTTACCTCAAAACAATGATTGCACATAGGGACATTAAAACATTACCTACATAATGTCAGCACCTCTTCCAATTAGTCTGGTGCAAGATATCCCATTTCATACAGTATTATCAGAAAGTTTACCTGTGGCACCATGTTCTTAAATGATTCCATGATAGCAGAGGACTTTGCCTCTTGGTAGTAGGAGAAGATGCCAGTGATAATGACCACACACGCCAGCACTACTCCTAGGTACAACTGCAAAATATTACCCAGTTTATGTTAAATAAGCTAAAACCTTTTTTTTAGCTGACTTATTTTTTATGACTTGACTGTTAGACAAAAAAATAAGCACAAATTGAGATATCTAAAACATTCTGAAGAATAACATACAAATTTAATAATTTTGTATTAATATTTAAAAGTTAAAAAGTTAAACTTAAACCAATGTTAATTGCTTTAAGGTGCAAATGAAAAGAAAGTGTCCAACATTAAGAATTATCTAATCACTGGAGCAACATTAAATCCAGAATTATAATTTTCTGCTCTAATAATATAGAATATTGTAACTCTTCAGCAACAAAAGTTGCAGATCAATTACAGTGGACCCCCGGTATTCAATGGCATCGGTATCCGATAAATCCGGTATTCGATACATTTTATGCAAAAAAATTTCCTCGCCACACGCGATTCATCCGAGACGTGTGGCCTGAACTGCTCCGTGCGTGCTAGTGTTTACAAGCCAGCCAGTGTGCTCGCATCTAAGCATACATTCGGTACATTCCATATTATCACAGTATTTTTCGTGTTTGTTTCTGCAAAATAAGTCACCATGGGCCCCAAGAAAGCTTCTAGTGCCAACCCTTCGAGAAAAAGGGTGCTAATGACTATTGAAATGAAGAAAGAGATGATTGCAAAGTACAGTACAAAAGTGGAGTGCGTGTGTCGGAGCTGACCAGGTTGTAAACAAAACCCCAATCAACCATCGCTACTATAGTGGCCAGGAAAACGGCAAACAAGGAAGCTGTTGTTGCAAAAGGTGCAACTTTGTTTTCGAAACAGAGACCGCAAGTGTTAGAAGATGTTGAGAGACTGTTATTGGCGTGGAAAAATGAAAAACAGATAGCAGGAGATAGCATCTCTCAAGCGATCATTTGTGAAAAGGCTAGGAAGTTGCATGAGGATTTAATTGAAAAAATGCCTGCAACTAGTGGTGATGTGAGTGAATTTAAGGCAAGCAAAGGTTGGTTTGAAAGATTTAAGAATCGTAGTGGCATACATAGTGTGATTAGGCATGGTGAGGCTGCCAGTTCAGACCAAAAAGCAGCTGAAAAATATGTGAAGGAATTAAAGGGGATTACTTTAGACAGTGAAGAATTGAAACTTAACAAGTGTTAATTGTGAAAAAAACAGGCCTTTTTTTGGAAGAAAATTGCCAAGCAGGGCCTACATTACTCAGGAGGAAAAGCACTCCCAGGACATAGCCAAATGAAAGACAGGCTTACTCTTCTGATGTGTGCCAATGCTAGTGGTGATTGCAAAGTGAAGCCTTTATTGGTGTATCACTCAAACTCCCAGAGCGTTCAGGCAAAAGAATGTCCTCAAGGCTAATTTGCGTGTGCTGTGGAGGGCAAACAGTAAGGCATGGGTCACTAGGGACTTTTTCTATGACTGGTTACACCATGTATTTGCCCCCAATGTGAAAAATTACCTAATTGAAAAGAAATTAGACCCTAAATGCCTCCTGGTCATCCTTCAGACTTGGCAGAGCGACTTTCTGGGGACATGAGCTTCATTAAGGTCAAGTTTTTGCCTCCTAATACCACTCCTCTCCTGCAGCCCATGGACCAGCAGGTCATTTCCAACTTCAAGAAACTGTACACAAAAGCTATGTTTCAAAAGTGCTTTGAAGCGACCACAGACACTCGATTGACTCTAAAAGAGTTTTGGAAGGATCACTTTAATATCCTCAATTGTGTAAACCTTTTAGGTAAGGCTTGGGAGGGAGTGACTAAGAGGACCTTGAACTCTGCTTGGAAGAAACTCTGGCCAGAATGTGTAGACAAAAGGGATTTTGAAGGGTTTGAGGGTAACCCTGGGAATCGTATGCCAGTTGAGGAAACCATTGTGGCATTGGGGAAGTCCTTGGGGTTGGACATTAGTGGGGAGGATGTGGAAGAGCTGGTGGAGGACAATGACGAACTAACCACTGATGAGCTGCTAGATCATCTTCAACAGCAAGAGGCCAGACCTGAGGAAACTGCTTCGGAGGAGGGGATAGAGAAATTGAGGAAGCTGCCTACTTCACAGATTAAAGAAATGTGTACAAAGTGGACAAAGGTGAAAACCTTTATGGATGACAATCACCCTCATACAGCTATTGCAAGCCATGCTGGTGACTATTACAATGACAATGTTGTGAACCACTTTAGAAAATTCATAAAGGAACGAGAGGTACAGGCCTCTATGGACAGGTATGTTGTGCGACAGAAGTCCAGTGACTCTCAAGCTGATCCTAGTGGCATTAAAAGAAGAAGGGAAGTAACCCCAGAAAAGGACTTGCTACCTCAAGTCCTAATGGAAGGGGATTCCCCTTCTAAACAATATGTTCGACACTCTCCCCTCCTCCCATCCCATCAATCACCACCAGATCTTCATTAAAGGTAAGTGTCATGTATTCTATTGTTAGTAGAGTACTATAAACTGTGCATGTCTTCTTCAGTTTGTGTGCATTAAACTTAATATTTCATGTGGTAACATTTTTTTTTTCACACTTTTGGGTGTCTAGCACGGATTAATTTGATTTCCATTATCTCTTATAGGGAAAATTAATTCGCCTTTCGATAATTTTGACATACGATGAGCTCTCAGGAACGGATTAATATCGTATACCATGGGACCACTGTAGTATTTGCCATCCAGTTTTAAACTGTTATAGTAATGTCTTGCACACCTCCCCCACACTCACATCCTGCTCTTCTTCACTCCTAAAAGATATTATACCTCCCTAGCCAGTGCATGAAATAACTGCCTCCCTGTCTTCATCAATATTTAAAAGTTCCTCAAAATAATCCTGCCATCTACCCAATACCTCCAATTCCCCATCAACTAACTCCCCTACTCTTTTTTAAATGACAAATCCAGTCGTTCCCTAGGCATTCTCAACTTATTTATCTCACTAAAAATTTTTCTTATTTTCTGCAAAATTTCTTGACAGTGCCTCCCCCACTCTATCATCTGCTCTACATTTACACTCTCTCACCACTCTCTTCACCTCTCTTTTACTCTCCATATACTCTACTCTTCTTACAACACTTCTGCTTTGTAAAAATCTCTCATAAGCTACCTTTTTCTCTTTTATCACACCCTTTACTTCATCATTCTACCAATCACTCCTCTTTCCTCCTGCACCCACCCTCCTATAGCCACAAACTTCTGCCAAACATTCTAATACTGCATTTTTAAAACTATCCCAGCCCTCCCCCATCATTCATACTTGCACTAGTCCACCTTTCTGTTGCTTATATCTCACCCAAACTTCTTCCTCCCTTAGTTTATATACTTTCATCTCTCTCTTACTTGTTGTTGCCATTTTCCTTTTGTCCCATCTACCTCTTACTCTAATTGTAGCTGCAACTAAATAATGGCCCGATGTATCAGTTGCCCCTCTATAAACGTGTACATCCTGAAGCCTACCCATCAACCTTTCATCCACCAACAAACTACTTTCATTATGTGTTATATCATACCTTGTATATCTATTAATCCTCTTCTTCATAAAATAAGTAATACTTATTACCAAACCTCTTTTTTACACATAGCTCAATTAAAGGCTCCCCATTTTCATTTACCCTTGGCACCCCAAATTTACCTACTACTCCCTCCACAACATTTTTACCAACTTTAGCACTGAGATCCCCCACTCTCTTCTCCAGGTGCATAAACACTTACTATAACCCCCTTTTCACATCCAACCCTTATTTTACACCACATAATCCTTGAATTTATACATTTATATTCCCTCTTCCTGCCATAACTTATCCTTCAACATTATTGCTACTCCTTCTTTAGCTCAAACTCTATTTGAAACCCCTGACCTAATCCCATTTATTTCTCTGAACTGAATCTCTCCCACCCCCTTCACCTTTGTTTCGCTTAAAACCAGAACATCCAGCTTCTTCTCATTCATAACACCCACAATCATCTCTTTCTTAAAATATGTGTAGTCTTAATGTCGGATGAGAGACAAGTAGTATTTATTTGTAGGAAGTAAGTGTAGGTGTATATATACGTATATACAGTGGACCCCCGGTTTACGATCAGTTCCCAATGCGACCAATTATGTAAGTGTATTTATGTAAGTGCGTTTGTATGTGTATGTTTGGGGGTCTGAAATGGACTAATCTAATTTACAACATTCCTTATGGGAACAAATTCGGTCAGTACTGGCACCTGAACATACTTATGGAATGAAATAATATCGTAAACCGGGGGTCCACCGTGTGTGTGTGTGTGTGTGTGTGTGTGTGTGTATACTCACCTAATTGTGGTTGCAGGGGTGGTGTTTGTGTGTGTGTG